TACAAATGCTCTTTCGAAGATCCAGAAAGTTATCATTTAACCACCTGTTCAATTCATGTACAAGTTCATAAGTAACACCCTGCTTTTCTTCCTCAGCCCAATGGAACATTTACTCTTTCCAGGTCAATAAAGACTCTCCATGTTTCTCCCAATCTTTTATTATGAAAATTTTCAAATAAGCGCAGTCAAAAGAATTTTATGGTGATCACCTGTGTTACCTGCGACTTAGATCCTACTCCTCATAGTTAACTGAATTCACTTTATCTTGGATCTGTGCATCTACCCATCCATCAACTCATCTTATTTTTGACATATTTCAGAGTAAATTGCAAAAAGTCCTACTCTTCCGTGGTAAATAAGACTTTCAGTTTTTAACTTACGTTTTCTGAATTTTTACCAAGCTGGGCTGTTGTCAGCCCACCTAGGTAGACTGTAAAGATCAAAGGGAAGATTGTGGCTCTTTCTGTGGGTGGGTTATCTTCCCAATCCCCCTCCCCAGGCATTTATAAACATTGGCTCTTTAATTATAGTGGTGCCTAGCTTATGCTCTCGAGTTTCAAGAAAGTGGAAAAGGGAATTTTTACCAATCCAATCACAGTATCTTTTAAACTCTGGTACTTGAGGCCAAAAAGAATAGTATAGGTAATATAGGTGGAAAAAATTTATAGAAAAATAAAAAAGTTGTCCCCAGATGTATAAACAATATAGCCTACGTCTACATTTCTGAATTCCCATGTATCGGATGGACTTAAAGCAAAATTGTAACTGTAACAACACAGAGATCTTAGAGAGTACAGATGGCTTCTGCTTTTGGATATAAAATATTCCCAGGAAGACCTTCACTGTTGTCCCAACCTGTGGGTTTTAGAGGCAGAAACTACAGTGGTGAAGAATGAGGTACAAGTTTTTAGCTGGCAAATGAATGGTGGTTACTGAAATCAGAGACGGTCTTGTTGGGATTTACAAAACAATTATTACTGCGTGTTTTTACCACATGTAGTTTTCGAGCTTAAGGAACGTGATCGAGCAGTGTATTAACAAGCCTGAGTATAATAGCATTCTATTAAGGTTTGTTTTGCCATCCTTTCCGTGTCTGTTGTATTTACATTCATGTTTTAATTGATGTCTTGGCCATGTGTTTGCCGCTGAAGAGATTGTGTAAAGACTTTCGTTTTTGTCATACATAAAAAGTGTTATATTCCATGTATGGTGAGTAAAAAAATATCCTTCATGTCCTCAGAAATGAGATCTTGCCAGTGGAATAAAACTTTATTTTAAAATATCTATCCATTAGCACCATAAGTAAACAAAAAATATTGTCTTAGAGACTTGGGGAAAAGGACCTCGGGTTGGAAAGCATCAGTGTGCGGAACTGATTCTCAGATGTAAGCGTTGCCTGAACAAGGGAGGGAGGCAAAATTTGAGACCAAACACAATGCGGGCAATATTATGTAAGCTCATTATGAGAAACAGCATCTCAAGGAGAAAGTTGCTCCATGACCAGTCCGAGAAGGTCGAGGCTGGCTCGTTTCTCTTGGTCAACTCAAATCAACACAAGGGCTAGTCTGACAAGGAAATGAAATCGAGGAAAGAGGCAGAGATCATATTTTTAAATCTTATTATCTGATTTTTTAAAACAATGTAGAGGTTCCCTGAATTTCTTTCAATGGAGGAAATTAAGTGCTCTTGGCTCCCCAAGGATCTTAGAGATAAGAGTGTGACCATCCTAGTCTTATGGATTTAGTCTTTGGAACCTGCATGACAGTGATGAAACACTGTTGGCTCCATGGGTTATCTCAGGGATTAAGGCTTGCCTCTCTCCTAAGAATCAAGCAAAAGCATTCTGTGGTACATTTAGCCTCAAACCAGGGAAGCTGTTTGTAACAGCTATGGGCTCACTGGCATGAGGCGAGGAAGAATAAGTGTTCACTATGTTACGCGTAACACTCACGTGACCCTGTAAGAATGCCCTGCGGGCTGGTAAGTTTCAGTACTTACGTACAAGGCTATTTTGCAACCAGGGAATTTAAAGCGCATTTCTACACTAACCTTAATCATTTCTTCATGCTCAGCGTTCCAGCTCCAAGATAGTCACATGGAAGTAGGCATTGCACCAAGGACAGGAAGAGAAGGCAGGATTTAGTAGAAAAGGATGGGAAAAGAGCAGCACTGTCCTTTTAACCAATGCATCTGGAATGAGATATTTAAAGGAGAATTTCCCCAAATGATGGCTAATTGACAAGGAAAGATAATTTGATTCCATCGTCTCTGTTCATACATACTATTGTTTCAGCCGGTGATGTTTTGTTTACTCTGGAAGGAAATATTTTACCCCCTCTGAGATAATTAATTTTTGTCAGCTTCACTGTTTATGAGGGAAACTGAGAAACTGTTAATTGAAATACAGAATGAGTCACTGTTTTCAGTAATTTTTGGCAGCATTCTAATTTGTGTCAATCCCAGCCTAATTATTAGATTTTTTGGAAGCGGAAAGCATATTTGATTTTTCTCTTACTGACTTTTTTCTTCTTTTTTTTTTTTTTAAATATATGCTGCCTGACAGAGATTATACAATTGATATGAACACGAGGTAAAATACCAGTACTTTCGAAATACCAGGAGGTTTAAGGTGTTACGCTTGGCTCCTCACACTAGCCCAATGTTCAGAAAGTTCACAGACTGTGGTCCTCCTCCTCCTCCCAGCCCCGACGAAAAACTGTGATTCTTTTAAAGACCTTTTAGCTGGTATTAAGCCACAGTATATGGCCCGTCACTAATGACATCACTGGAGTAAACTTCCCAGAAGTCATCAGTGAGAATTCATTTGGAAATCCAATTGAATGTCACTTGCAAAGGGCAGGCTTCTAGAGGAGGTGACCAGTCATGCATTCCTGAGTTATTTGTTGTAAAAGCATTAATCACTCTGAACTCATTTGCTCCAAGTGTGAACGCACTACATTATTCCACAGGAATTCTGTTCCCCGTGATCATTAATGTAGAGAGCTGAAGCTGCTGACTATGGGCAGGGTTAATAAAATCTGTCAGATCAATGGCCAGGATAATGGGACTGTTAATGCCTTCTAATAGAAGTTGGATCTTTCTGGTTGCAGCAGAGTGGAGGCAGGAGGAGAGGCAGGGGACTGTGCTGGGGAGACGGCCCCATCACTCGCCTCCTGAGGTAGCCTCTGGGTGAAAAGAGCATGGATGTCAGTCGCCCAGCGTTGCCAGGGCTCCGAGGCAGCGCAGCTGGGAGTGGCTGGGAGCGTGGGCAGCAGCTGTGGGCTGGGGAGGGAGCCACGGGGCAGACACGGGGAGGCTCTGTGGCCATGCTCCAGCTGCTTGCCTGCCTGCATCCAAGCGCCTGGCACTGTGGGCTTCCTAGAACCTCGCTTCACCCTGCTCCCCACGGGCCACTGATGAGCTGAAGGACGACAATCACAGTGATAATCGTGGCAATCACAGATAATGCTCACGGGCACCTCTCAGGGCCCAAGGACGAAGCCCTTTCTATGCTCTAATCTCAATCCTCAGAGCCGTCCTCTCTGTGACATGTGGACTATTCCCTATTTGGTAACAGGAAATTGAAGTTCAAACAGATTCAGTAACTAGTCCAACGTCAGATCCGAAAGTGCGTTCCCTTAATAACTATGCTCCTTTATTAGAGGGAGAGACGCAGAAGCTATAGCCTCAAATCAGACCAAAGAGAGGTGCAGGATGTGACAGTTGGCCCAAATGTCTTGTCACTTGTATATGCAACCTGTCCGTATGTTCGGGACCAATCCTGGACAAAGCCTATAGAAACCATGGTGTGTCTGCAATGTTGTTGTTCTAAGCTTTGCTGCTAAAATGTGGGTACTGGGGCCCATAGGAAGCCTCATTGCTTTTTGCCACCCACCTGCAGCCCTGTTGGGGCCCCAGGAGGCCCTCTCTGCCATGCAATGCCCTATTATTAAGACTGATTCCTTCTCATTCCACCGCTGCCCGATAAAAACTTGTCACATTTCTTGTCATCCAAGGGTCTTGATCTCCTGACTATCCCTAGTTCAGGTTCAAATGAGAAACTGTGGCCCCCTGGGGATGCCTCTGAGCACAACACTGACATGACTGATAGCAAAGGCCACCCCAGGGCCCCAGCCACAGAACTGAGCACGGGAGCATGGTGACACGGGCTCTGTGACATTTCTAAGCCCCAGCGATTACCCTAATGGAGGTGCTGACCCCACTGTCTTGGGGCTCAGGAGTGGGAATGGGATGTAGTTCACAGGTAAAGTCTAGAGAAGCAAGAGGGCTGCCAAATGCTAAGGAAATGAGGGGCTTGAATGAAAGAGGAATCATAGCTGCAAAAGCAAAATCTGAAAAATACACTGTTCAATGTTCCCAGTAAGCAGCGTTCTCCACTCACCCCACCCCCAGATCTTCCAGCTACACCTCCTAAGTGCTAGACGACATGGCACAGGATAGAAAGGCAGTCGGACTGAGTGAGAGAAATTAGCAGGAGGAAAATGCAGGGACAGCGCCGTGGAAGATTGCGTTGGCCGCGTAGAACACGAATGATTCGAATGTAGGGAGAGAAGACATTCCACAGAGTGCGGAGGGGATGAACAAAAGTGGGAGGGTGGGAGCAAGCACACTGAGTACAAAGCGGTGTGAAGGAAAGGTGAAGGAAACAGCCGTGTTCTAGGGGAGGAGTGGGTGTGGAAGTGTGGGTTAGGGTGCGCACCTGGGGCGGGGGGAGGAGGACAGTAAGCAGGAGGGAGAAGGAGGGTAGCACATTACTGAGACCGTTGGTGGCCAGACAAAGGAGTCTGGGCCATCACGGAAGGCAATAGGGAGCCACAGCAGGCCCCAAAGCATCTACTGAGCATGACCTAAGCCAAGTTAGGGGACATCTCATCTGGCAGTTGCCTAAGAAGGTAGACTGGAGAGGAAAGAGAGAATTAGGGGCATGGCATGCAGCGGGGGCAGCCTGACATTATGGTTTTTCATTTTCTGTTCTTCAGCACACATCCATCCTGCCCTTTGCACTGGTGGAAGTCGTCCTCTGGCCGCACTGCTATCCACAGAAGAAGAAAGGTCTCACCTTGTTGGCTCTCGCTAGTCTTGTGTACATCAGCAGGTAAGAATCGCAGAGAGAAAATCTACTTAGGCTTTTTCCTTCAGGATGGTGAGGTACTCCAGAAGGAGCATACTGTTTTGTAGGAATGCCTTTATCTTGGGTTAACAGGGATTTAACCATCATTAAATTTTTAGGTAGGAGAGATTCTTATTGTTTGATGTTTTGTTGTTGTTGTTGTTGTTGTTGTTGTTGAAGAATTTATTTGACAGGGAGAGAGACGGAGAGGGAACACAAGCAGGGGGGACTGGGAGAGGGAGAAGCAGACTTCCTGCTGAGCAGAGAGCCCAACAAGGGGCTTGATCCCAGGACCCTGGGATCATGACCTAAGCCGAAGGCAGATGCTTAATGATTGAGTATTGTTTGGTGTTGATGCCATGGAAGCATCATGTGCCTAGGAGGATACAGGTGTGCATGCACAGGCAAGTCACGCATTCCTTGCTCCCTCTCAGGAAGAAGTCATCATTGCAAAGCTACACTTACTAGTTTCCCCAAGAAAGTATTGACCATTGGTTCCATTTACAATTAAAATGTTTGGATGTTTATAGAAGCAATGTCCAAATAGCCAAGCTATGAAAAGAGCCCAGAGGTCCTTCTACAGATGAATGGATAAAGATGTGGTACAAGATATATAGTGGAATATGATGCAGCCATCTAAAAGGATGAAATCTTGCCAATTGCAACAACATGGTTGGAACTAGAGGGTATTATGCTAAGCAAAATAAGTCAATCAGAGAAGGACAATTATCATATGATCTCACTCATATGTGGACTATAAGAGACAAAACAACAAGCAGATCATAGGGGAAGGGAGGGAAAAATAAAACAAGACGAAACCAGAAAGGGAAACAAACCATAAGAGACTCTTAACTCCAGAAAACAAACGGAGGGTTGCTGGAGGGGAGGTTGGTGGAAGGATGGGGTAATTGGGTGAAGGACATGAAGGAGGGCACGTGATGTGACAAACACTGGGTGTTGTATACAACTTAGAAATCACTGAACTGTACCCCTGATACTAATAATACACTCTATGTTAATTCATTGAACTTAAGTTAAAAAAATAAAATGGGAAAAATTTTAAAAAAGAAAAAAAAAACAGTAAAATGTTTTTTATGATCTGAAGCATCCAAATATATTCCAAAATATATTATCCAAATATATTCCATCTAAAAAGGAACGTGCTCTGTTTGGCCCATTCCCGTTGCCTGTTTTTTATGGGCTCATTTGCATCAACATCTGGCCCTAGAGCTCCAATAGGGCATTTGGGCAACTGCCTGGAGGCTTGCAGAACAGCCTTTTTGGAGGCATGAGAGGTAATTCAAGGAGCTGGCCTAATTTTCATTATTCAACCACCTGGTGACACCAAGACTCAGAAGGGCTGCTCAGTGGTCTGTAATCAAGGGAAAACCCTTGGCATTCCACGCAGTGATTGGAAACCCCCTTTTCCATTCTGTCACCTCTCATCCACTACCATGCTCTTGCTCTATGGATAGGGGCCTGCCAAGCATAATACATCTTGACAGAAGCTAATCAGGGTGCTCCTTCTCTAGCCTAGACTGCATCAGCTGTTCCCATCAGAGAATCTGGGTCATCCCCCAATTCCTCCCTATTCAGGGAAAGTTGAACTCAGTAGAGGGCTCTGCTAGAGATGGAAGCCAGAAAGAGAACGTAATCCAAGGGACTTGGGCTCTCCCAGTGCCTGTTTAATTGGCTTTTGCCATCCTTTATTTCAGAACTTGTAAGCTTTGTGCCCGGAACTCCGTTGATGGTTCTTCCCTTGCCTTTTCAAATCCTTCTGCTATGTAGTCACCTCCCACCCTTCTGCACCTCTCCTTCCCTGAATGTCCCAAATCTTTCTTGCTTCTCCTCTCTAGAAGAAAGAAAGTACTTGCTCCATAAATCTACCCCAAGACTCCAGTGATCTAACATGTTCTCCAGTCTGGGCCTCTGCATTTTTACCAAGGATACTTTCAGAGAGTAGGTGATAGTTGGGAACCTACTGGTGGTTGATATCTGGAGCACAGTGTTGAGAAAGATTCTGATACGAGAAAAGAGTTTTGTCTTCCTTTAGCAATATCTGCTGATAGTGTAAGAATGGAAAGTGGCAGGATATGTGCCATGTATTTGCCATATCTGGCTTAACCCAAAATAATAAATCCCTAAAGATAGACTATCTGGAAACTGAGGTTGGGTAAGAGTGTGTATACATCAAGATATTTTTTCCTGTTGTCATGTGTGGAGCAGAAGCAGAGTGGTGTCTGGCTGATTATGTATATGAATTTCCATATTTTGTTTTTGTGTGTGTGGACTTCCATCTGATTTGGTCTTCCTTGCTGAGTGTAACTTTTGGAGTTAGTATACAAGCAGCATTTTGTAGTCTGTTAACTTTTTTTTTTTTAGTTTGTTTATTTGTTTTTGCAAGAGAGAAAGGGAGAAAGACAGAGAGAGAGGGAGAAAGATCACAAGTGGGGAGAGGGGCAGAGGGAGAAGCAGGCTCCCCACTGAACAGGGAGCCTGGTGCAGGGGCTTGATCCCAGGACCCTGATATCATGACCTGAGCCAAAGGCAGACGTTTAACTGCCTTAGCCACCCAGGTGGCCAGTCTGTTAACTTTTTCTACTGAAGGACTTGGAATTTGGTCATCAATTGTCACATCTGATTCTTGCTCTTTCATCTTCAGAGACCAATGGAGTAAAAGACCACCAAAAGCCACTGGTATTTGGGGGAGAAATTGTGGTGGCCATAAAAGTGAGAAGCAGTGATCAATAGGGCTTGGTCATGCAATCTGACAATGCAGGGAAATGGGGGGTTGGAGAAAGGAGGTACAATGAGATGGGGTCCCGTATGAATGTATCCTCTGACCTTTCAATCATTCATCAGCTCCAGGCAGTGTGCTAAGTGACTGAGGATATAGTGATGTGCAAGGCACCATGCCCCCTTTAGGGACTGTCTGAGAGAGAAGAAAGTGCCCAAACAAAGGGACGATAGGCGGAGGGGGAAGTGCATGGTGCTGTGGGTACCCAGGAGGGATGTTGAAAGCTAGCTTCTAAAGGAATTGATGTGTAAGCTGAGACTCAAAGAATGAGTAGGAGGAAGTCAAAAGAGATGTGGGAAAGACCTTCAGGCAAAGGGAACAGCATCTGCTAAGGAGTTGCTGAGGTTAGGGTTGACCTGGAGGACAGGGAAAAGCTGGATCATCAATTCACATCAGTGAGTCCGGACTCTGAACATGCTTGTCTGTGGGAAAGTTTTAAGTGGAGGAGAGAAATGATGTGGCTTACGTAAGAAACACGATTGGACTCTGGATGAAGTGTGACATTTGAAGAACAAGACCAGGACATGGGTTAGTGACATTTGTGCTAACTCGGGAGAATTGACGTTAGCCAACGGATGACAGTGTCAATCAATCTGCAAATGGAAAGAGAGAGAGGCTGAGTGGTGGAGGTGAGGTGGAGGTCATCCAGCATGACATGCGCAAGGTCATAGGACTGGGGAAAATCAGCTCTGGGACGGACTTACACTCAGGGCTCCTATTTCCAAATGCAGTTTACTTCCCATGGTATCCACAGGGCTGGGTGTTGGTTCAGCTCCCCATTTGTGCAAAACACACTGTACAAAATGCAGGGGAAGGGGAGGTAGGCAAACAAGCTTAACCTCATTTGTATGGTCAATAACTTTCCACGATATCATGGTTTCCAGCTCTTTGTTGGATTGGATGTTCAAGTGTTAAAGCTACAAGGGAGCAAGGGGAGGGAGGGGCAGAGACCTGTCACCAGCAGGAACATGCTGGGTGGGCCCTGGTGGGGAGCTGAAGTGGTTTGGGATTTGGACCTTCTTATCCTTGATGAGGCCCTAAATCAGCATCTGGCTCGTTGGGCTCCATTTTTGCTAGAACGAAGAGACTACGCCCATCTGCTGTCCCACGGGCTGAAACTTCCTTCTCTCTGACCATCCATCCCAACTGTGGGCGCTCCCACTCTGTGGCATGCTGTGTCTACCCTTACGCAAGGCTCTGGGGCCCATGGGCCCTCCCAGCCACAGATGGCCAGCAACAAGGTTCCACAAACTGTGTCTATCCAGGGAGATGTTTCAGGGAAGTGGCCATGGGCCAGCTGTTAGGCATGCCAGTTTGGATGGTCAAATAGGGAAACAGCCTAGCAAGAATGAGGTAAAGAATATGGGCCGAGGCCAGACTGAGTGTGAGAAGCAAACATGAGTCAGAAAAACGGCAGTAACTCAGAGCTGGAGAAGCACTGCCCAGACAAAACCACGTTACGACGACCTAAAAATAGCTACCCAGGCCGTGGAGACTGCCTTGCATGTGGCACTTGATTTTTGTGATTTTTCAGATTGCAGAATTGGAGGGCTGACCTGTAAGTGGGAAAATAAAGCTTTGCAGAGTAGTAATAACTGCAAATCTTTTATTTCCTTTGGAAAGCATGACTCACGTATAAATACGGTAGCTTGCTCCCTGCTCCCATATCTCTCACCCCTAAACACCTCACCTCGATTGCTCTGAGGTCTTGGTGAGGAGCAGGAAAACAGAAACCTTCCTACAGCTCGCTCCAATTCACTCTTTTATGGAACAAATATCTCCCCTAACACAGGGTTGGTCTTGCTGGGAAAAGCCAAGTGCTGTCAGGCCAAGCACCCGCCTACAGGGGATTTGTGCTTATTAAGGGGGGAATGAGAATTTTAAGAACACAAGATGGGGAGGGATGACATCTAGCAAATACAAGGAACCCCAGGAATACAGGGGATGAAGCAGTTATGTCCGGCTGGGAGGTGTGGGAAGGGCTCAGGAAAGGGGGGTGTTGGATCCAGGCCTGAAAGGACTGGTGGATGTGACAAAAGTGAGAGAAAGTGAATAACAGACCATGGTCCCAAGGCCAGGAGAGGACAGATCACTGTAAAGTAATGGTCAGCACCTTGCTATCGCCCAACCTAGTGGTAACAGAGGCTAATAGGAAGTGGTCCTCAAACTGCCCACCCCCAGATGCTGA